CCACTTTAAGCTGGATTCAGTTATTTTTATTGTTAAACTTTATTCAGCACTAACATACAGCTTGTTGCTGTGCTTCCTTTTGTTTTACCTTATGTCTTTATTGTCAAACCCTTCCTGCTGGAAAGTCATCGTCACTTCTCCTACTCGACAGTTCCTCGTAAAGCTACACCTACATTTCATCTCCAGAGCTTTCACGTTGCTTAAAACTGCCTCTTTAATCTGACATCAATCTCTGCTTGCACCATTGCTGAAAGTGTGCATGCTCGACCTCCACATATTTCAGTCTCTTGGCATTTTTACGCACTTTCCCCAACTTGCATAATGAGTCATGCAACAAATGAATGCGTCCAAGTGTGTTAGACAGTCTGATGGTGTGCTGCAATTGAGATGTTTGGAGAGTGACGCGACAAAAAAAAAGTGCTGCAGGATCTGCAGTCGCGCGCCTACCTCAGTGCCATGAGCACCTTTCAAGATGAAATGATTACTAATGTGTTTTTAAAGAATGACGGCTAACCAGAAAAACCAATACACGGTTTCCACGGATGTGCATGATTCGCTGATTTACTCAGAAGTAAAGATAATAAAGTAGATCGGTGGCATTGTGTGCTGACCTTTTAATGACAGCAGCCACCGAGAGCCAAGCTGGGGCTGGGTTGGTTCGTTTTCTGTCTTTTGCATGAAGTGTTTTGCTACTGAAATGCCAACTCCACATTTTCGTGTGCGGCATGTAGTTAAACGTTCACGTCGTGTTTCTCCCTGCACTTCCTGTCTTATCAAAGTGTCTCCCTGACCTCCCTTCCTGCCCATTGAATTTCATTTTCTTTCATTCACTATTCAAAGTGGTTTATTATCATAAAAGCTGCACAAATATTTTGACCCGGGCTGCAAATAACCCCAATTGTCTTTTCTTTTTTTTTTTTCTCCTTTGCTCTCGCGCAGACGTTCACGGCGTGGTGCAACTCCCACCTGCGGAAGGCCGGCACGCAGATCGAAAACATAGAGGAGGACTTCAGGGATGGGCTCAAACTCATGCTGCTGCTCGAGGTCATCTCCGGTGAGTCACCGTCCGACCTCAGAGAGCCGGAGTCGTCAGAAAATTAGGGCGGGTGTACAAGTTTTTAATTAAACGTCTGCAATAACGAAGTGTTTCTAGAGTGAGTCACACAGAAGCCGCAGAAAAACTTGTGGGTCTCGACGAGAGGAAAAAATATTTTCAGATGTTGACGATGCACAGCATCTCCGGCGTGTCGTCGCCCAGTTTCCGACATCAGTATTAATCGCAGGCATTTAAAGACACAGCAGGGTTTGTAGCAGCGGAGCTGTTTGTGTTAGCGCTGCTGTCATTCACTAATGACGTTTGGGCTCAGATGTGGCTTCCTTTTCAAACTCACTCCAGTTTCGAGTGAAGCCGGCGTCGCTGCTGTAACTTAAACCTCCCTGAATGTTGCCGTGGAAACATGCTCAACCTCAGCTAAGAGGCTCTTTTCTCTGTTCATGTGTGTTTGTGTGTTTGCAGGCGAACGGTTACCCAAACCTGAAAGAGGCAAGATGAGGGTCCACAAGATCAACAATGTAAACAAAGCCCTGGACTTCATCGCCAGCAAGGGAGTCAAGCTGGTGTCTATTGGAGCAGAGGGTAAGCCTTCGTTCACGTTACTGCCGGCACGAGTGTGAAGTTAAACTCACTAACTGCAGATCTAATCGGAGCGGTTCGCTTAAATGTTTGAAAGCGTGGCTGAAAGGGAACATTCGTGGGGATTTTGTACTTAGTGGTGAGCTTCGGCTCATTAATGGTCCTTAAATGGGAGCCACTAATTGCAGCTGTAATGTGAGTGAAAGCGATTCAAAGCAGGAAGACGTTAAAACTAATAAGGCCTTTTAATGTAGACGCAGATTTTCCTTTTTTCATTATTTTCTATCAAAGCTGTGCTCACTGTGCTG